CCTCGAGTTTCCTTTTTGTAAAATGGGTTATTAATGCTCAGTTCATAGCCCTGTTAATACTGTACAAATTTAAACTTTTATGAGCACATCTAGTAGTGAATAGGTATTTAATAAATGACTGCTGAATCTAACTTTATAGGTTTTGAAACATACTTTGGGCAAACAGGGTTTCAGCGGACTGTGATTCAACATGAACCAACAGTGCTGATGACAAAGAGAAAGTTAGTGGAATCAAGCAGGCTGCATTAACAGATCTCATTCATAAGAGAAAGACTGTATTGTGTACCTCAAACCACACAGAGTACACTCAGTTCTGTACAGAGTATTTTTAAAGAAATACTGAAAAAATGTAGTAGATCCAAAAGTGGAATATCCAGGATACTACTGATCTAGAATTCATACTATGAGAACCAGTGAAGGACTTAGGTATGTTCAGTCTAGAGAAAAGACAGACTATTTTTAGAAGACCTATCTAGGGCCAAAGGATGAAATTATATACTGAACTGAAATATGCTCTCTTATGAGAATTTTATTTTTTATCAATTATTATAACTGACATAATTTATACCATTAAAGAAAAAGCTTATCTATTATGGTTCTAATTCTAAAACTCTGAGGGTTAAAATAAAATCAATATAGATCAGTTAAAAAATGGACTTTTAGGGGCTTCTAGGTGGCTCAGTCAGGTAAGCAGCTGACTCTTGGTTTCAGCTCAGGTCATAATCTCAGGGTTGTGAGATCGAGCCCTGCATGGGCCTCTGCGCTCAGTGGGGAGTCTGCTTAAGATGCTCTCCCTTCCCCTCTGCCCCTCTGTGCGTGCTCTCTCTCTCAAATAAATATTTAAAAGAACTGACTTTTAGAAAATTTCAGTATACTTTACTAAGCTGTCTTATTAAGGATTTGGAGGACAATGTGCATTTAAGTTCTGACAAGAGGGCATTAAATACAAGGGGCGTAAAGAAATAACTTGAGACAATTTAAAGAAAATGAAACTGAAAAAAATTTTAAGAAATTTATCTATTGGATAGAACAGAAAGCATGAAACTGATAGTCTAGACAAAAAAGTCAGGTGTGACTGCTGACAACTTGACATATATCTATTTCAATTCTGCATTCACTTTATTCCTGTTTTACATGGAAATCACTTTGAAAACTCAATTTCAGACAAAAAGATAGTGGCAAAGGACAAGACTGCATTGAATAGTCTAGGGATGTTACCTATTGTATTTACGCTTAGAACCTGAAATCCCTATTACAGCAGAATTTATTGTATTTGTACGTTTATTTCCTATTTTAATTAAGGCCTGTGCTATTAAATTTTGCCTTGTTTTCATTTTCCTAAGAAAACATCAAAAGTAACTTCATAAATAAGAAATTCCCTATTACTATTCTTTGAATCATCCATCTTGAACTGAGAAGTTGTTCAGGGTAGGAAAATAATGACTCCAACTTCTTTCTATAATTTTGGCACTAAATTCAAATTTTATGCCTACAATTTTGTTGAGAGCAGAAACACAGCCTCGCATAGACAGAAGATCAGATTTAATAATTTAAATTATTCTGTTAAACACATATATGTCAAACATTAAGACTTTAAGGATAGGAACAACTGGCATTTGATTAAACACTAGCTCTCAGAAAGAGTAGTTATTTGAACAATGACTGAAAAACGGCTATGGCACATTGTAAATTTTCTCTATGTTAATAAACCATAGAATATACCCATTTAAGAGCTTAGATTTGATATATTTAACTAAATTAATATCAATTGGTCATTTCAGTAAATTTGCAAACCTTCTTTACCACCAAATGCTGGCAGTACCTAGCACCCTTAAAGTTTTTTTCATTGTAAACACTGCTTACTACTAATCCAAGTGCCAAAAGAGCAATTTGTTTTTTTATCTCCCTTGGCACAAATCTTTCTCCCAGAAACATTCACATTATAAAATTATTCAAGATAATTATTTTCCTCATGAGTGCCACAAATAGACAGCATTTTACATTAAGAGTAATTTTCAATCACAAATATGTTAAAAATAGAGTATTTAGTGACTCATACCAAAAGCATTACATTCTCATTGAAAACAACAGATTTTATATCATTTGCCATTATTAATTACTGCCCTACTCAACATTCTGATTTTTTTTGTAGTACTTTTTTTTGCAGTACTTTTAGACAGCCCCATATATATATATATATATATGCACATATATATATGTATTTTTAAAGATTTTACTTACTTGAGAGAGAGAACATGGGGGAGGGGGCACTATGGGGCCCTTGATCCCAGGGTTCTGGGATCATGATCCTGGGATCCTGACCTGAGCTGAAGGCAGATGCTTAACTGACTGAGCCACCCAGGTGCTCCTACATTATTTATAATTCAAGAACTGACAATATTTTCTAATACGTATGATTACATTTCTAAAAACTTATCTAGATAGTTCAATATGAGAAATAATTTTTGTCATTTCTATTTATTAGACTAGTTCTTGATAGTAGGCAAATAATAAGTCTCCTGAATTACAAGGTAACTTATTTCCATGACCTTTTTTTATGGGACTAACAATGACAGCCCTGAATGAATTTTCTGCTTTATCTTCTGTTTTTTACAAAGTCAGTGTCTTAAAATTTTTGTTGTTGTAGATTAAAAAGAAGCAATGATCTTAACTGCTGACAGTGCATCTAAAGGTGTTATTTCATTTAGCACCAAATGATATATCTAGTTATTTTAAGTTTATATAACAGAAATACATGATTTAAGTACCTAAAACTGCAACATAAAAAAACCAAAAACACCGCTCAAAGAAGAAAAAGTGGGAAAAAAAGGAAATATGATTATTTCTGAATGTTTTATGTTAAGTAACAAATATATAAAAATGAACCCAATATACAAAAATGAACCAAAACCACTGCTATTATTTAATTCTGACAGGATCAAATATATGAAACACCAATATTCTACAACTTCTGGAATACCCACATTCCACAAATGGGAAACAGCTTAAAAAATATCCCTTTCTTAAAGAAAGAATGGCATTAAACAAACATAAGGGAATGACAGAAGAGGGTATATACACACATAATCATACAGAATCACTCACTACTGTCATTATGTACCTATTTTTCTGGGTACTGTTTAATTGGAAAATCACCATTTTAATAACTCAGATTAAAGAGAACTCCAGACATACTACCTAGGACAGAAAACAGAAAGCATTCCAATTATAAAATATAGCAAATGAACCTATCTTTAAAAGATGCTGGACATTATCCAAGAAAGGCTGTTTGCTTAGAAATTTATAAAGGAGATGAAATAAGATTAGGAATGTGATGTTATCTATGCTCATAAATCTGTTACAAGTTAAATGATACCTGTTTCTTTTTGAAAAGTTGACTGCTCCCCGGTCCACAGTAGGAGTGCAATACCAGTCAAAAAGATTTCTTTTTCTTAAGCTGAAGTAAAACTGAGCTGGCTTCCAAGGGACCAATTAAGGAACTTATGCCTGGGCTATATGGGATTCTTTGGGGATTTGTAAATGTTTCCATTCTAGTTTTCCAGAGACAAAAATATAAAAAGGAAAAAATTAAAGAAGTGACCTGTGGTATTTGACTACTACTCTTCAAACTGGCTAATACAAGTTTTCAATATTTAATTGATTTCTACCCTAAAAACTATTTACTGAGTTCAGTGGCTGATCTTCTATGATCATAAGGTCACTCCTCAACACATACATTATTTACCAAGTCACTAATGCAATGGTATTAGATGAGGTAAGAGAAGAATCTGATGCACTAGTTTTCACTTAAATGGGGCCATCCTTCAACATCAAGGACTGAAAACAGATGCACTTGAGTTTCTTTTATTTAGAAATATAGAATTAGCTCAAGGAATAGACAGAAATGAATCTTTCTGGTAACTGATATCAGGAAAATACTTATCATCTTGCATCGTTACCATGACCTTGATTTGAGAGTTTTTCTATCGGTATGACATTAATTTCAGCTAACCTGTAAGAATTTTTCCCTTAGAATTGTTAAGTTTCTTGGGGCACCTGGATAGGTCAGTTGGTGGTTAAGCGTCTGCCTTCTGCTCAGGTCGTGATCTCAGGGTCCTGGGATCGAGCCTCACATCGGGCTCCCTGCTCAGTGGAGAGTCTGCTTCTCCCTCTGCTCATGCTCGCTCCCTCTCACTCTCTGATAAATAAAAAGTCTTAAAAAATAGAATTTATAAGTTTCTCAAAAGTTATATCAATCAGGGTAAAAATGTTTCTTATTCTCAGAAAGGTGTGCATGTGCATATATCAAAGGAAGGAAAAGTGATTGCCTTCCTGGTTTTTCCTACCTTCTGAAGTTTAAAAGTTAAATTTTAAGTATCTCACGAAGTCTGCAGTACAATCTAGTGAAATGCAAAAATAAATAAAAAAACTATTTTTCAAGTGAAGAAAATACTTCCAATTTATAAAACCATAAAGTAACTGTCAGTAAATCTGATTAATGATGATAATAAGAAAGATAATTAGTTATGTATAAATTCATTTGAAGGAAAACTGTTTAAAATTGTGATTCTCAGATTGAGAGAGGAAAGGGCCTGGCTGTAAAATACTTCTCAAAATCGAAACTTACCCAAAACAATGGCATTATTCTCGCTCTAAATTGGATTAAATTCATATCAAACTTCAATGTGTAGGAGGTAAGGGGAGGTCAGAAAGTTGTCAATCTAGGGGTGCCTGGTTGGCTCAGTTGATTAAGCGTCCGACTCTTGATTTCAGCTCAGGTCATGAGATCAAGTCTTGCATCAGGCTGAGCATGGGAGCCTGCTTAAGATTCTCTCTCTCCCTCTGCCCCCACCCACACCGCTCGCTCTAAAAAAAAAAAAAAGGTTGTCAATCTAGGATTGTAGGAAAAAATTCAGAAATAAAGCAAAAGCTGTAACCAAACACTTTTTATAGCAATGAGCGAGGTTAATACTAAATATTAACTGAGAGTTAATACTTACAAGGTAAGAATTGCTGGGCTAAGTAGGGGGACTGTTTTATTATGGTCTTCATTTTATCATTATTAAACCTAGGAAAAAAATAAGAGTGAAGACTTTAAAAATTTGATCACATTATTTAAATTAGAAAATTTTCAACTGGGGTAGATAATCACAGTTTTCTGATATAGCACAACCACAGATTATAAACACCCAGCAGCATTTGTGTATTTTAGTCCAGAGTGTTATTAGTTTTTTAAATTCACTTTTCTATTACTATTACCTTCTCAAAGTTTAAAACTCAAATATGTAAGTGCAACTAAAACTCATACTTCAAGGTCTAACTTGGAACACACTGAGTTTCTAGAGGACATCATATAATTGCAGATATTTTAAGATAAATTCAAGATCATACTTCAAGATTGACTGGTCTCTCTCTCACGCACATAAATACACACATGTACACAAGTGCAAAATCTAAAAATCCATATATTGCCCAAGAATTCTACTGTAATAACAGTATAAATACAGAGCTTAAGTTGGAGTTTCAAATGCTTAAAGAAATGTCTGAAAATAATGTTATGATCTATACCCAAAACAAAATACTATTATGAAATTGCGTGAAAAATGGAATAGTAGTGATAAGAAAAATTGTTTCCAAGGTTGTCCTTTATTTACAAGAGTAGGAAGTATTAAAAGCCAGTATGCAGGGGCGCCTGGGTGGCACAGTTGTTAACCGTCTGTCTTCAGTTCAGGTCATGATCCCAGGGTCCTGGGATCGAGCCCCGCATCAGGCTCCCTGCTCAGCGGGAAGCCTGCTTCTCCCTCTTCCACTCCCCCTGCTTGTGTTCCCTCTCTTGCTGTCTCTCTCTCTCTGTCAAATAAATAAATATAAAAAAAAAAAGCTAGTATACAAAGAAAGGAAACATTACATCTTATCTTTAAAAATGAAAAAATTTAAAAATATCCTGACTTAAACTGGTTAGAATGTTTACTTTCTGTGGGCCATGACTGTAAGTTGTAGTTCTTACACCAACTAATGCTTAAGCACTTACTACAAGATACAGAATAGAGTAAGTAGAATAAACTCATTGATGCTTTTAATGGAGCATTCTAAGTACACATCTTATTGTAGAATATCTTCACCAAAATACAGAATATTTTTTGATATATTTGAAAAATTATTTCAAATCTATGGAAAAAAATCAAGACAATACCAAAATGAATCCCCATATCCTACCCCTGGCCCTCTGACTGAATTCTAATATTCTGCCATGCTTATTTTATGCATCTTTTTTTAAGAAAAACAACAACAACAACAATACATATAGTTGAGTCCTTTTTGTACCATACCCTGATCCCATTCTCCTCTTAACATAAAATCACAATCTTGATTTGGTATTTATTTCCTTTGCATGCTTTTACACCACTACTATTGTAAATTCAAGTACTTAAAACATTTATCATTATTTTCAAGCTTTATTTAAATGTTATCATATACACACTTTATATAAATGCTTTTATACAATACATAACCTTTTGCGCTTGTTTTTGTTTGCTGAAGACATTCATTCATGATCATACACAGAGCTCTCACTTTAATAGCAGTATAATAAACAGTTTATCATATGACTATGCGAAAATTTGACATTCTCCTGTTGCTTAATGTTTACAGTGCTTTTGATTTTTTCCTATTAAAAATAAAAGTAAATGAGACTTTGCCATACATGTCTCAGTTTATTTAAAACATCTAGGAATGGAATTCTTGGGTTCAAGCCTATGTATATTCAATTTTACTCAGATAATGTCAGATGCTCCCATAAGGAGCATATGAAAAGTTCATTTTCTCCAATATTTGAAAGTACATTTAAGAAAAATAGCTACTATCTAAAGGAGTATTTTCAAAATTCTTAAGTGATCAAATCCTTCTGTTTTTAGCAAGTATAGGTCTAACATAGGTATACTAAATGTTCTAAACAAAAGAGACTACAATTTGCCCCAAGGTACTCGCACAAAAATAAAGCTCTCATGATACAGATTTTCCTTATATGACTGAGTAAATACCAAGACTTAATCTAGAACTACTGTGGTAGAAATTTTAAGAGTCAGAATTAGTTACTGAGCTTAGATCCACAATGACCAAAGAGGGCAGGGAGGGGGGGAGCAGAAAATATAAATGGTTTATTACTGTGAAGAATCCTCCCCCATTTCATTCTGGGCAGTGCTCCTCACATGTGGTGCTTCTAAAAAAACTCACTTGGAGCTTGTAAAAAATACAAATTCCTGAGTCCCAGGGCTCCAGAGAATCTGATTCAGCAGGTCTGGTAAAATGCTTTATTCTAAGTTATTCTGGTACAGGTAGGTGGTCCATAGACACTTTATGTAGTAATTCATAGTAAAAACAAGGTGTTTTAAATATAAAGGATTTTGTAACTCATTTAATTAAGACAGGCAGCTAATTAAAATGTTATCTGTTAAATGACAACAACATAAATTACATCAAACATCCTAGTATTAGCAAAAAAAAAAGTAATTTCAATTTATGGTTGAATATGTTTGACTTCATGTTAGACAAGGTTTTAGGCTCATTTATTATTTCAGATAACTAAACACATACTACAACAAAGGTTGTTTTGATAGTATTAGGAGGAAATTCACATTCTCAGTTTGCTGTTATTGGTAATGGAAAACATTAAGAGTGGGAATGATTAGTTGTGATTTTAATGAAGGTGACCAAGGAAAAACAATGATTACCTTTTTAAAAGAATGCTACTGCAAATGTCAAGACTTTAAAATGGGACATTAGACTTATAAACTAAAATAAAATGTCATTTGTAGTTTCCTCCCTAGAATGCTACAAATGAAATCAGAACTATGAGAACAGCAATCTAATATTCACTTCCCTTTAACTACAACCTATTGTAATTTTATTTAGATACATAAGATGAGAAAAATGCAAAGATATTTAGGTTATGCAAATGTGGGCAGATTCAAGTTGTAAAAATAAAAAAAAACCCTTTTGTATCATTTGATATTACAAAGCCCTATTTCCAAAAGATTTAGAATAATCTGAACCTCCAGATATATAAAGTTCAGATATACAACATTATTTTAATAGTCAGAAAAAGTAAAGACTTAATGAATTTCCAGCTGCAGCCTGCTTTGTCTTTAAGTACAACACTAAGCAGCATGGGGTATTCTTTTTTAGTTATAGTGAAATCAACAAGAATTTGGTCTTGTTTAGACTGGGCAATAAAACAAAGATAACAGAGGCTCAGAATATGGCTCCAAAGTGAAAGAAACACTCCTGTGTGGCCATAGTCAACTTTTCTTTTCTTACTCTTAACACCTAACTTGTGTTATCAGTAACTAATAATTTTTTTCAATCTACCAGCTTAAAAGTAAAAAACATGAAACATACCATACATACTTCCAGAAGCAAGATGGTTTTCCATTCAAACAGATGGAATTAACTGATTCAAAATTAAATGAACTAAAATCACAGAGTAAATAATAGAAAATAATACAAAGTCTAAGAACTATAAGCAACTACTGTTTTCTTTATGCAGCTTTGGGAAGAAAGTACCTTTTTGTCAAAGAATGTATTCATTATACTATATACGGGTTATAATGACAGTTGAGCCCTTCCTACCTGGTCTGTAAAAGCTGGTGGGTGCAGGCTCCTTTGGCCACCATTATTGCATATTGATGCTATTCTGTACAACAGCTGACAAGCAGTAGCAATCTCCCAGCCCCTGCACCCAGCTGTAAGGAACAAGAACAAGGGCTGTGGTGATACTTGTTTATTCATTGTTGTTGCTACTGCTGCTGAAGCAGCAAGCTAAGAAAAGCATATGTAACTGACACAGAAGACAAAATGGTTCTAGTCCAACCTACCTAGCAGGTCGGCTTTCATCACTATATGATAAAATTTTCTAAGGAGAAATTTTTTCTTTAAAGTAGGATGGGAAAAGAAGAAGAAAAGACAAAATTAGTGTTTTGATCAGAAAGGGAATCTATAATGTATTTAAGGAAAAAAATTAATGACACATGTAATGATCTTCAGCTCCCAGTTTAAGTTTAGATTTAGAGTTAAAACTCTTCTGAGAAGAGTTTTAACCAGGTTTGGCATGAATTCATAAATTTGTATTATTGTTCCTATCCATTCTACTGGAAAGTAGTACCTAAACTTTAACCAAGAAATGAAATTATATTTTGCTTATAAAATGTTCCAGGCTCCCAAGTTCCACATATCTAATCATCACCATATGTTTGACATCAGACCCTATTAACAAAGAAATAAGATTTAGCCCATAAAAATTTAACAAAAACTCCAACTATTAAAAAAAATTCCCACATGTAATTTATCTACTTTAAATGTGTACTACAAAGCTAAAAACTTAGTAAGTACATAAGATCAATGATGAGTAACATAGAAATATTTATTCTGCCAAATTATCTTTAAATTTAAATGTGATGCTATTTATGGACTTATAACTTCAATTTTAAATGCAATCCTTATCTTTTAATACCTTAAGCAATTTTTGATTCTGAAAAATATTTAAAAAGTCAGAAAAATTAGGACATCTATAAATTATTTTTTAAAATGCTAGAATTGGCTTATAAGACTAAATAAAATCTAGTCAAGAAGGCTAGATTTAGGATTTATTAAAATAAAAGTATAAAATACAGTAATATCAAAAACTCAGATCAAAATATTTTGGAAAAAAGGGGAAAAAACCAATCTTTTATTTTTATCAAAATTGCAAAAACAATTGTTTTGCTTAGCAGCAGTCCAAAAACAAATAATGCTAATAAAAATAAAAGAAATAATTCTGAGGATCACAGGATGACAAAATTACTTTTATTATGAAAGCCATAGAATGAAAAAACACTGACAGCAAATATCAAAAAAGGATTTTTAAAAATTAAGACATTTACAAAACAGTAATAAATTAATAAACTATTAACCAGTGGATTAATCAGTCTTAGGAACTACATTTGAAACATGCTACAAGTTTCTCTTCCAAGTGACTCTAATCATGAAACAAGAAAGTAAAAGTAAGTCAAATCATATATGTTAATGAAATATCAAAAGTGTGGTTTGTGGTGCTAAGGACTGAATTTCTACTTCAAAATATTAATTGAAAAATTTAAATCATCTCATTAATTAATGCCTTTTGAAGATGCTTAGAAAATAAAATTCTGAAAAGAAAAAAACAGATTAAGTATATATTTTATTTGTTGGTCAAGAAACAACACAAAATACAATACAAAATTGCTTCGAACATTTAAAAAAAATTTTGAGAAAGTTAATTGTCTATTCTTTAATGAATCCTCAGCAACATTACAAAATCTCAATAAAGGAAGCTGTTACAGCTAAGAAATTGCTTAAAATATGTTGTCCTTATAAACTAGAATCATACATCAATGACAAATAATGAATAATTTCAAGTCCCTCCACATGTAGTCATGTTAAATTACTTCTCTTCTAGTTTAGCCAAAATATTCTTTCCCTATAAGAAAAACTATTTCAACAAAACAGGAATACTGACAGTATAACTGTATTTTAGGAACAATTAATAATTTTTCCTGAAAATGAATGTTATTTAACCCAGAAAGTCCATTTAACCAAAAATATAAATATTGCACAAATAAGAAGTCTATCAGTGAAAAAAACAACAACACAGTAAATCCTTTCCTCCAAATCCTGACATAATAAACTATTTATCAGGCTTAAGTTAGATATAATCAGGTTTGCAAATTTAAGTAGAAAATGTCCTTTAAGGGGTAGTTAAAGGCTAGCCAGTCACACATAGCAGTAAAAGCCTTTATTAACCTGTCTTCTAAAATAACACATACTACTAATTAGGTTAAAGTTTCTTACCCTGTAAGAAGTGACCAAATACAAGAAAACTATTAATATCTGCATCAAGTCTCTTAGATGTTAAATTATTTAGGAAGCTAAAAATCTGGAAGTTTATAAGCCAGTGTACAGCTATAGAGGGATGATTTTATGATGCTAAATACTTGTGTTCAAGCAGTAAGTTTTGACAACTTCAAAGATCAAAAATCATAAACACCCTAAATTAGAAACAACTCTGTGGATTTATGTCTTTATTTAAAATATGAACTCAAAAGCTATCTCTCTTCCTCCATTTAACAGTAGGCTGGTGTGTAAAAGATATCTGGATTGAAAGTGATAAATTGAATCTAGTTTGTTTTTTTTTCACATACTCAGAAACCATATTTTTCACTTTTCATCTTAACGTCTAATCTGAAAATCACTGGTTAAATCGGAGGGGGAAAGTTGTATTTATTTTCACCCTACTCAAACTCAGCTGCTTTTTCACAACATTCTCAAATCTAAGTTATGAAGACATTCTATAACTTATATTTACCTCAAATAGTACAGTGACACTTTACAATATGACACCAATACTTGAAACTTTACCCTTACATTAAACTGATTTCTATTAAATTTTAACATTTTATTTAACATTAACTCTGTTAATGGATTCACATTCTTGGATTATCTAATATCTAGTAATATCAAATATTAGTTTTTTAATATTTTGATATACATCTCAATGTTCAAACAGGCACTGGAGAATTTGAAAAAAACTGAACATTGTTTAAAGATACAAACAGTTCTATGACCACAATTACACTTCACTCTTAAAACTAAATAACATTTTTCTTATGAAAACAAATCTTTATCTCCTGTATCTTAAGTATATAAAGTAAATATTTTTAGGTGAAAAAAAATTTAAAGAAAAAATTGTAGTATGCTTTATTTTAGTAGACACTTAAGCAAATAGTTTTTTTTTTAAAAAAACATTATGGTTAATACTTTATCATGTGACTAATATTTTTACCATGGAAAAATTAATCAATACTTAGTAATATTGTTCAATACATTCATTTACATTATACCAGATCACTATTTAGCAATCAAAATTTTTATTAGGTAAGTATCTGAAACTTTCAACTATAAAAATCAAAGAAAATAAATATACTAGAAAAATGGCTCTTCTGATAAAGTATTTTGAAGGTAAAAATAAGTTACTGGAAGTTTTGGCATTCTTCATTTTTAGAGTTTGCAAGTTTTGATATGAATAATTTAAATATTTTATTCAGAGTACCTATGAGTAAGATACTAGTTTCTGCTTAAGAAAGTGGGTTTTTCAGTTTCAACCAAAATGCCACTTTTGGTTAGGATGGTATTTGGAATACTCTAAATTCTCTTAAAATAATCTCATTAATCTTATCTTATAGGCTCTACCTATCACTATACCTCTCAAAGAGCCAAGCACCAAATTCTATTTTAAATCTTCCATTTTAAGATGAAAAGTCCACTAGTTAATTCTTCTACATATATAACAGTGTAATAACCTTAAGAAAAATCACTATATGTACTTATTTTTAGAATAAATTCAGTTGGAATTGGACCTAATAAAACATGATGAGAATATCAATTATATTTAAAAATCTGCAGTTTTAATAAGCAAGAGAAGTCCACCTTGGCCACTTCACAGATTTCTATTAATAATAAATCTTTATTGATTTCAGCTCACTTAAAAGTTCTAGTTTTACTGTCTAGTCCAATTATATTGCAAAGATATAAAATAGTATGCTTTTAAAATTCATTAGTATACCTTAATCTCCTATCATGTTCCAATGCATTATGTGAGTGTTCAATCAAAGAAGTTAGGTTGTTCTCCAGAATTGGCTCTCTCCTAAAGGTCAAAACCTGCAATAAAAATGTCATGTATTATAGCATGAAGACACTCAACAGATTTCCGCCTCCTGTAGTTCCACAGCTGATCCCTGAAGACTGAGGTAAAATCTTCAAAATGACCCCAATCTTGCCTGTGTTCAAAGAAAATCTAACTTGAAAATAATGTTTTTAAGTAGAAATAACTTGATTAGAAACACCTGTGATATGCTTTATCATCTGAAGCCTCTTCAAATAAATCAGATTAATATGTTTCTGCTTTCATTTCTCTTTAGGGCATTCATTTTCAAAGTTGTGTGTGTGTGTGTGTGTGTAGGTAAGTGTTGGAGGACTGTTAAAGGGGACTCCATAAGGAATATATCAGAAATATAGTTTGTGCTTCTAAAACTCATGTTTGTGCTTCTAAAACTCATAAAATCCACAGTTAAAAAGACTATTCAAAGGACAGAGATAGATTTTTAACTACCTTTCTCCCTCAATCATCAAACATTTTGATGACAGAAATTACCATTATTAAGTTTAGTCTTCTGCCTTGCCCGAGTGAACAAATTATACTGATATTTCCAAATATTTTAAGACATTACAGTTCTAATAGAACAAAATTTACAATTAACTTTTTAAACAAAATATTTATAAGTAACAAGTGGATGACTTGTTAAGTGGATGGCCAATGGTTTTTACTATTTCCAAACAGACATGGTGTAATCAAATGTATACAAGTGGCTTCTTCATTTGTTTCACCTGAATCTTAATGATTTAGTGGCAATCAACTATCTAAAAATATAAAGTTAAATTACCAAAGGCTTATAACATACTATACGTTAACCATAATGCTCAGAGTTTTCTACTTTTATTTAAGAATAGCTTAGGAAAAGAAATGAAAACCAAAAACCTTTAATCCTCTGCCGCCAAATATTTGATTGTTTAATGACAAACACTACACATATGTAACTCACAAACACCAATCCAAATACCATGACACTTTGAAAAATTAAAATCATTTCTACATAGTCTTCCTCAAAAGACACAAAGTTTTCTGTATTTGAGCACTCTGAAAATTAAGGTATCGTAACTTTAAAAATCACAGAAGGATAGTAGAAACCAGTACGTACTCCATGCCAAATGTTAAGTTTTTAAATAGTAGGGAAACAACAAATACTAGATGATAAAGAACAAAAGAGGTTCGGATATAAGACAAATATTAAACCAAATGTGTAAGATTATAAAGATGTAAAAAAACCCTGAAATAGTATAATTTGATGTCAAACCTATTACAAAATACAGTTTATTATTTATACTTAGAACCCAGTGCAAAGTCTTTCCAGTGCAAAGATTTTTTAGTGAAATAAGACAGGAATAAACCAAAGTATATTAAACTTCTCATAATTTGATAAAAAATGTTAAGAACAAAATTCATATATATATATTTAATATCAATTTCACTATTTGAAACTTGTCTTTGTAAAAGGAGACCTAAAAAGAGACAGACAGAAGGGGGGAAAAGGCAAAAGAAAATCATTTCCCTATAAGAAAGCAATATTTATATGAAGGCTTTACAATTATTTGTATATGCAAACAAATAGGTAAACATGTATTAGTAATGTGATATTCTAAAACTGATGTTACTCTTATAATATTAAGACAATCACGACTTTAAAGTTCTAATACTATCACTTGTGAAAACTTAAAGCAAAAATGGCTTAATCTAATTTTCGACACTTATTTGAAAGAAAGTGGTGGTTATTACTATTTCCTTTGGTCTTAAAGAGATTTGGGGCTACCAAATTTCAGCAAGTCATAGTTTGAGCTTAATTACATGCCAAAATTAGTTGCCTGGCCAAAGTGTTTCTAAGTTTGTTGAACAAAAATTAATAATAAGAAATAAAACTACATGTAAATACTCTAGTATGACAATTCTAAGAAGTGTTTTCTAGTTATAAGACCAATAATGTTTCTTCTAAAAAAGGGTTAAAAAAAATCAGTGTGGGAATTATTAAGCTTCACTAAACAAAAGGAAAAGACAAGAGCAAATTTTAGGCCACTAATTTTTTTAAATGAGATAAATTTTTATAGAATTAACTTTCAAAATTGTGTGTCTTATTAATTGGAGAAAACTTATGTATCATGTAGAAGAAATATCTAATACAGTCTCTGGGCATTTAATTTTTCTTTCTGTAAACCAAATTAACTGAACAATATCAGTATTTCTGGATGGAAGTATATTGTGACATTCTGAATAGTTACTGCATACCAATAAACACAAATGTGTATTTATATACATCTTCACAAAACAAAAACCAAACAAAAATGTAGTACACAAAGCATGATGAAACAGGGGATCCAGAATATGAAAACTATTTTGAAATTTTCATCCTTAGTTCCAGTTCTTGATAACGTTAAAAGTGTTATTAATCTGATTACAAAAAATGCGGTGTTACATGTAAACACCTGAGGCTACATTTTGTAAATGTACAACTAAGACAAGTTAACAGCACTAAAACAAAGTCTAAAACTGCACTTTTATTTGAGGTTTTAAAAATACTAGGAAAGGCAAACAAATAAAAATCAATGCTACCAGGAAGACTAGCACCTTACCTTCTCTAGTTCCCTCTCCCTCACATTATATAAACATAGCTTTTAAAAAGAGTAGAGCTACTGTAGCAACACCTTTCCTCACCATTGTTTTCCAGTGATATGACTTTTATAGTCCTCACAATAGAAAATGAATTATAATTATCAATTTCCACAGAGTAATATGGATAATACACATAATAAAATACATCTGTTGGATCTCACGCCTACATGCCCACAATCTAAAAACCCAAATCGTCCTCTTATCTAGCATCACATAAAAGGGAAAATATTTTGAATGCTGTGGATTTTATTTAGGTGCTAGTGCATTCTCAAGCTTTAAGTGCAGTATTTTAAATAAAGGAATTTTCACTTTTTAAAAAAATGGCTTATTAAACAAAACAATCCTTCACCATCACCCCTCAAAACAAACAAAAAACCCCATAAACCAAAGTACTAAAAAAGTATGGTTAAATTTAACCAGCCTGGTGGAATTTAAAGCCTTCCCCCACCCCACCCTCAAAACTCTACGTCACATAATAATTTGAATGAAAATTAAAACACAAAACCCCAAATAACAGTAAAGTAAAACCCACTAGATCTGGTATCACAGGTAAGATTACATTTACAATAGAAATGGGGTCTCCTACAACTTCATTAAGTCAAATTTTATAGAGAGGATAATTAGCACCTTTCATGAAATTTTCATGAGATGCTTCAAAATAAACAGCTTTGAAAAAAGGTAATGAACAAAGATTCTGTAATTGCAATTCCTGTTATAAAGGCAATACAAAATAGTATGATTTATAAATTCAGCTATTCCACTCAATATAAATTATATTTATAGCCCTACAGAGATTTATAAAAGTAGTGGGATCTTTTCATTTGAGTATTTTCTAACAATGCATATTTGATCTAAATGTGAGAATATAAACTCTAAGTTTCAAAATTTCAACTGCTATTCATAAAAGAGCATTAATTTCTATTAAATTAAAAAAAATCTTTAAAAAAGCATCTACAGCTATCTTATTTATCACTGAGTTTACCGATTTTCTTTGAAAACCACACCCGCCTTTTATCAAGATGCAATTAAACGGAATGACAAGCTTGGTAATAAATAGAAATATATTGACTGCTGTCTCAAGCAACATTAAACAAAAATCAACTGAAAACCAACCAAGTAAGACACAACACACCTACACTGTTGTATGCAATATATTTCTTCACAGTGAATTTATCAAAGGAATGAAATCATACATAGGCACCTGTGCATACTTACCTGTTGTACTGTATAATTAAGCAACGTAAATTTCTTGTAAATTAAGTTTTAAGTCCACAGCAATGGCTGAATTAGCAAAATCCATGTATTTTAAGTTAGATGTGAAAAAAAATTTAAATACACCAATTTTTATGGACAATGTGGAGAAGCTCATTCCTAAGAAAATTAAAGTTTCTTCTCATCAAAATAAAAGAAACAATTCTCCCGTAATCTGCATCGAATATGTAGTTTAAGCTGAAAAATTTTTGTTAAAGAAATAAAAAAACCTAGATCGTACAGTTTTTAACCAAAAGGGAACAGGGGCAAATACATAAAAGTCTTGCAATTTCAGCCAGCAGAATTACATTTTTTAAGAAAACTGCCTCCTCAGTTTTACTTTTAATATACATTTCAGAATCATTCGAAAGTCCTTTATGGAAGAAAAAAATATTAAATCCCAGCTTCCCCCCTCCCAATCCCCGTCTTAACGTTTCCTATTTCCGTGGTTCTCTAAAAGTAAAATTTTTCGGAAAGTCGAGAATTGTAATCTAGTGTTCAACATTCAAACCCCCTCCAGTCCCGCTCTCTTCCAGCCAATCAGGGGGGGTAACAAGTCCGGTGTTTTGGGAACTCCGTTAGATAAAATTTGAAAAACATCACATTGCGCTCTCCTATTCTCTTCGGGGACAGATTCTAAATGAGGGCGGGTCCTCTAGTCTTTATAGAAATAAGAAATCGATCAATTGTTACATCAATTCCAGGAGGAAAAACTCTTCAGGCAGGTGGTCCTAAAGAGTGTGAGATTGCGGTTCCCAGAAAGCGTTATTCCTCTTTGCGAACAATTGAATAGCTGCTGCAAAACCCATCTCCTGCACATTCGCAACCCAAAGCCGCGCACCCCACACGCAAAACACCACACCAGGAAAGGGTTAATCAGTGGTGCCTTCAGCGCCGAAAAAGACACAAAACCTAATATATCTCTAATGAGGAATTTTTACAAAGGCCATTATTTATAAAGTACTACTTAAAGTTAAAGCCGTCACTGGCCCAAATCATGCAAGAGTTGTCGACTAAGAATTGGTAGAAACTATGAGGATAAAAAATCACTAAAGGGAAAGACAAATAACAGCTCTCTTCCCTCCGCCTCAGAGTCAAGAGAGTTCCCGAGAAAAGGTGGGGATTGCAAAATTACCGTTAAGTTGTCCGGGCTAAGACTTTTCGGGAGGAAAACATCAATAGTTTCACAGATTGCTTTTATCCTTGCGACATGTTTCAAAGACTGGAGAAGGAAAAAGTCCTCTAAGAAAAGTGCAACTGGGTGAAGGAAATTGCAAGCTCGAAACCCTGTCTCCCCCCGGCCCCTCCCCGAAAAAAACAACACCGGGAGAGCAAATGACAAAAATCCCGAGCAAAAAGCGAAAGTCCAGCATCTTTCCTAGGAGCCCGCTAAAACCTCAAAAGTCTGCCCCCGCCCTATCTCACCCAAATTGGAAAAGCCAGACACCGTCAGGGTTACCCCTGCCGGGACCGAGGAGCGCAGAGCGGGAGGGCTACGTTGTGAAACTCACATGCCTAGGGCACCTCACGCTTCAGCATCAAGCACAATATACAGTGCTGGGTCCCGCGGGCGGTAAGTCCGCACAACGGACTGGAGGCACCCGCCACTCCGGGTTAATTTTCTGCCGACCTTAAGTTTCATGTCACCAGAAGACGGTAGTCAGCGGGCCGGGAAAACTGCGATAAAAGACGGTTCGGTTCGGCAAATGGGGGAGGGGACGCTCGTCCCCCTTCTCCTGTCAAGAGGCCGCGGCCTGCGGAGCCCAGCCGCGCCCCGGGCCCGGCCCCGGGCGGGGGGTCCGGCTGACAGATCCGCTGGGCGGCGGCTGCTCCGCCGCAGCCCGTCCGCGTCCCGCTCAAACTGCAACTCCCCTCCCCCCACGCCCCCGTCTCTCCGCGCTCCCGCCACATTCCGCCCGCCGCCGCCCACTCCCAGACACCCAATTACCCCTAACCCCATCTCCTCGCATTTTTAGCCATTCAAATGAGAGCGGACCCAGTGCCCACTCCCTGCACCCCCATCGCCTGACGGTCCCACCGCTGCCACCTCCCAGGTCCCACTATTACTTCTTCAGGTTCTTACCGTCTGCGCCAACCCTGGCGAAGCCCCACGGACTGCCCTTTGCTCCAAGTAATTTTTGGCGATTTTTTTAGTGATTTTTCGGCGGAGTCCTCGTAGCGCTATAATCTCGGACAGGTTATCCCGTCTCTCCCACTAGATTGATGAGATCAGGCATCACTCGAAAATGGCGCCGAAAGCGCTGAGGCTCCTCATTCAAATTCGTTAGAGCCAACCCCGCCGCCCCGGGGCATGCCGGGAACGCGGGCTGCCTCCACAGCTGTCAATACCGCCTCCGAACCCTTCTCCAGCTTTCCCGACACTTCTGCTCATGCGCAAACTCCTACCCCAACCTCCGCGCCTTGAACATGCGCAGAATCGTCGCTGTTCGCCGCTCTCACTTCGTTTCCTCAATCTCACTCCTCCGACCTCCTTTCTTGCGCGTGCGTGCAGCTCCTTTGCTCAGCCGCGGACGTGGAGGAACCGTGCGACTGTGGGCCCGGGGGTCCATAGATGACATGTCAGTCGATAGGTATTATTCTACTGTTCGAGGAAAACAAATAAGGTGCAGCTTAGACGAAAAGAATAGCGTTTTATTGCCAGTGTCTAAACTCCTAACAACGGAATGTGTCTCTAAGACCTTCTGTATGGATACACGTGTGCTTAAAAACAGCCCCGCCTGTGTGTATAGCACTTGCTGTGTCAACGCTTTACAGGAGCTATTGCACTTAAGCCTCAGAACAACTTTATGAGGTAGGTACTGTTATTATTATCGGTTTGCAGACCAGGAAAGGAAGGCTCAGAGACTACTAAGTAATATGCCTTAGGAGACACAGGTAGCAAGCACGTGGATGAGTCCGCATCTGTCAGATTCTGGAACATGGGCCATTCTCTATCTTACTGTGCGATGCAACCTGAGCACATACAGGAGGCGTGGTTTCCCCTGCTCAACAATTGTGTGTGTCGTGTGTGCGGTGTATGCGTTCGCGCGCGTCTGGAGTTAAGGATTACTTCAGTGCGTTGGAGCTCTTCTTCCCGGTTCTAGGCTGCCTGTTACGAAGGCACTTTCATCCAGTCCAGTTTCTCTTCACTGTCTCACTTGTTCTTAAATGTTCTGCTGTTTTGGAGAGGTGAATGGGGAGTCTTTGGCCATCACTTAGTGTGTGTGTGTGTGTGTGTGTCTGTCTTTGGTGGTAAGGGAACCGAAACTACCAAAGACGGGTTTCCATTGTGCGACACATTAATAAAATAATAGTAGCCAGATATCACGTACTGACTGTACTCTCGTTGGGTACGGTTCAAAATAAACGCTTTACGGATTGGTGATGTTTGCTGCTCACAACAGCCCTATTAAGAAGGTATTATCGTCATTTTACACATGAGGACATCCGAGACTCAGATTAAGAAATGTGCCCCTAAATCTTAAAACTAGTAAGTATAAGCACAAGACCTAGGCAGATCTGTGCTCACCTTCAAAAACTGGACGCTAAGATATGACAATAAATGATGATAAAGTTGTCAGTATTTTAACACCTTCCTTAAAAACCTCTTTTAATCATTCATATGCTTGGGAGAGTTATCCTACCCGCCACCAGGCTAGTTAAGATGAAAATGAAAACAAAACCAGTGCCATTGATTCTAAATTATTACATTTTAAGATTATTTTTGGTTACTTTTTTTCCTGATCCCAAGTTATAATACATTTTCTAAAGAATCCAACAATTTAAAATCTGGGGTATTGCTACATTTTTTCCCAGTTTTTGTTGCAAAACAACTTGTGATAGACGTAACTGTAGGAGTGTACAAAAACATATCATTGTGAGGGTTAGAGAAGACGATGGATACTGAAAGTGCCTGACGTACTAAGAAGTAAGGAAATGGGAGAAGGCTAGCATGATTTGCATTACTGAGGTAGAATTAGAAAAGAAATGGATTTTAATAATTTGAGATCATCAAGAAGTAATATTGCAGAGTAGTGTTTGTCTTACATCTCTATGGTTCTTTTGTGCACTGGTTAAGTGCGTGGACTCTGGAACCAAACTGCCTGGATTTGGATCTCGGCTCTGTTACTAACTAGCTTTGTGACCCTATGTGAGTTACTTTTTCTCAGTTTGCTCTTTTATTATCTCACTGGGTTGTAAGGATGTAAATGAGCTAATATAGTAAAAGCATTTGAACAGTGTTTGGTATATTAGTAAATGTTAGCTATTGTGACATTAACACTGACCTTTTTAAAACAACTTCTTGTGTTTTAAAAAGTTTTAAGTTAACACCATTAGGAGTTAAGTATTTGGGTTCAAAAGTCCCTTAAAATGATAAATCAGCCTGACAAATTATTTTCGCCAAATATGAGTAATGGTTCCTGCCAGATGAATAAGGATGTTAAATTTAAGTCTTATCATTTCAAAAGAATATGCATATGGAAATGGAATAGTTTTATTGCTTTTTCTAATTATTAAAATTAAGGGGGAGAAGGGAAAATCAGGCCAGTCTAAAATATAAATTAAAATATAAAGTAAAAACTATCCAAATTTCTATCATCCAGAGATAAATACATATTCTTTGTTCTTTAAAAATGTATCTGTGGTGAGAACCAGCTAGTGGTAATCTGAATAAGTGGTATATTTGGGGAACTTATTTGCACAATTGTACTTGAACTTCATGAACTGGTAAGTTTTTGATCTAGTCCCCTTTTAGATATATTCTGTCAAGAGAATTCTAAAGTGATGATGTTGTTGGTAAATAATATTTACTGAGTTCCTACTATGTGTCAGTTAGGCCTGTATGTGCATTTTCCCCTTGAATCCTCATAGTAACACTTGAGGTTGGTGTAATCTCCATTTTGCACAGACTAAAGTTTATATGGAGGTCACTTGTAGAAAAGTTAAGTCCTGTTTTATTTAAAATACTATTCAATAAACCAAAACCCTTTATAAATCTTCTCGATTCACCAAAATGGGAGAAAACAAAATCGAGTAACATGGTTCCCATGCCTGAACAAAAAGCCCAACTGGAAAAAATGTTTTGAAAACCAAGAAGTTTATGTTGTGACCACAAGGGGGTGCAAATAATTGAGCTGAATTTTAAAGGGGGAAAAAGTGTTTTTTACCTCAGATGATCAAATTCACAGGTAAAAACTGGTAAGAATACCTTCTCCAAACTTTAATACTCCACATAGTTACGTACTTTATGAAAAAAAGAAATCAATTATTTAGGTACTCAATTAGGGCAGAAGTTTTCAGCTTTCTTTCATCTTCAACATGGTGAAGAATTCATCAGCCCTACCCCCACTCCTTTCCACCCAGCCCATTTGTGTCTCTGCATACTCTACTTGTCATAACAGTACAACTAAAGTCATAATTTAAAATCTGAGGTTTTACTTGGAAACTGGAATGCAATCACCAGCAAACGAATGGTAAATATGGGTAGTGTGGAGAACAGAGGTTTTGTAATTTCAATGCTTTCTTTCCCTCCTGCTGTTTCTAACAGAGTAAGCTACAACTGATGGAATGTTGGCTTCAACATATTGACTTATTTAGATAAAACTGTGAAAGCTATAGGTCTGTTCATCTTTTACAAAAGAATGAAGACTCTTGAAAACATTTTGAACAGTAACTTGAAAACAGTATACACTGGAGAATGTTTTAAAGACAATTTGCTTAGATGCGTTTTAAAGTAACTTTTATTTTCTTGTTGGTCTTGTTTCTCCAAGGTGGACTTAATTCTTAAAAAATCTTTTTACTTAGAAATAATTTAAAATTGGCTTAGTCGGTTAAGAGTCCCATTCATGATTTTGGCTCAGGTCATGATCTCATGGGTCCTAGGATCCAGCGGGGAGTCTACTTGAGATTCTCTCCCTTTGCCCCTCCCCCCGCACTCGCCCAGGCTCTCTCTCTCAAATAAATAAATCTTTAAAAAAGGAAGTAATTTAAAATTTACAAAAAATTGCAAAAATAAAAATAGTTCAAAGAACATCCTTATCATTTGCTTGCTCTTGTGCAAGGTCTCTCTCTCGCCACATACATGTATACTTAAATACATTTTTTTCTGAACTATTTGAGGTTAAGTTACATACATTTTGGCCTGTCACCCATGAATATTTAAGAGTGTATTTCCTATCAATTCATAAATTTACATTGAAATAATACTTCAATCTACCACCATATTCCAGTTTTGTAGCTTGACCCTTATTAGCATTTACCCCTCCAGTATAGGAGCCGGTCTGGGGTCAGGTAATACATTTAGATGTCATGACTCTTTAGCTTCCTTTACTTTGGGACATTTCCAGCCTTTACCTTTTATGACCTGGACATTTTTAAAGAATTTTTAAAGAATATAGCTTTTCACTCCACTGCATTTTTTTTTTTTTTTTTAAGATTTATTTACTTGAGAGAGAGAGGGAACGCCAGAGTGGGAGGAGTGGCACGAGGGAGAGGGAGAGAAGCAGACTCCCCGCTGAGCACAGAGCCCAAGGCTGATGATCTCACAACTCTGGGGCCATGACCTGAGCTGGATTAACTGTGGGAGCCATCCGGGCACCCCTCAACCACTCTTTTTAATAAAGTGTTCCTTATTTTGTTTTTGTCTGATGTTTCCTCATGATTAAATTGGGGTTATATATATTCTCAACCGGACTATTACACAGGTGATAGATGTGTCCTTTGTAGGGTATCACTTCTGGAAGCACATGCTCCATCTGTCCCTCCTTGGTGATATTAGTTTTTTTTTTTTAAGGTTTTATTTATTTATTTGACAGAGAGAGACACAGCAAGAGAGGGAACACAGCAGGGGGAGTGGGAGAGGGAGAAGCAGGCTCTCCGCGGAGCAGGGAGCCCGATGTGGGGCTTGATCCCAGGATGCTAGGATCATGACCTGAGCTGAAGGCAGACGCTTAACGACTGAGCCACCCAGGCGCCCCAGGTGATATTAGTTTTGATCACCTGGTCCATATGTGGACTGAATCTTCCATTGTATAGCTACTGTTTGTTTTTTCCCTTCCCGGCAATTAAAAAGCAAATTGTGGGGAAACATTTGAAGATACATCCTGCTCATCATCAAAATTCCCATTTAAATTTAGCATCAATTATTGCTGATATTTTTTGCCATTATGGTTGCAAAATGATTCAACAAATCTAGTACTGTCTCCACATCTACCAAGTCAGTCCATAGCATTCTACTGTGAACAAAGAGCCCTTTCTTCTCTATTATCTGCATTAACTTATGAATTCCTGTTTTTCCATTCTGTATTTGCTTTGATTTCTTGAGTTCTAGCTATATTTAGATATGTATATTTTGTACACTTTTTAAAAATGAATCACTTGAAGGTAAGTTGTTATGTCACGACCTTTCACCTCTAAAATATTTAAGTCTATATTTAATTATTTTGTTATTTACATTGTCCCAGATTAAGCTAGTGGGAGCACTTTTAGTCTGGGTACTATGTTTTTGTGATATGCCTATATCTTTTTTTTTTTTTTGAGCACTTCCTTACTTTCTGGTATAATAAGATGTTCCATGTTCATCTTGTCCTTACTCTGTCCCAG